CAATACATGCAATTACAAACTATGAAATTAAACAAAATTTTTAATTCATTATTTATCTGATGATTCCGTGGCGCAGTTGCCAAGGTATTGGGTTCGGCGTCGGGGGTCTTGGGTTCGATTCCCACACGGGACAATTATTTGTGTGACCCAAATATATTTGTTTCTCGTCTGGGTGTTTGTCCGCGTGAAATTTATGTTTGTAAAACATCATCACAACGCAGGATAACGTTATCCTAAAGTGAGGGTAATGTTTTAAAAAAAGAGAACAAAAAATATATTTCCTGTATTTACGCGCGTACTAGTCGTTTAACCAAACTGTCTTAAAGGATTTTGGTAAGGGATAGACAGGTCGAATTATTCATTACGAGTAAGATTTTAGAATACCTTAGGTTATTTATTTCAAAAATAATCCGGGCTACCGACATATTTCTAAAAAAAATATTATCAGATAGTACTACTTACTGTATCTTGAAGTCTTTTAGTCTTAGTATTTTTAATTTAGTGAGTCTAGATTTCATTTTACAAGTGATAGTAACCCAATAAATAGTGTATAGATTTTAATTTGCAAGAATCGAAGGGGCAATTAAAATTAATTCTATATGCTTATAGATAACATAACACTAGCGGATGTCGTGTTGCCCGCAGCCCGACCGACATGCGACGACGTGAACTGCGGACGACGTTAGCTTGCCTGCTATTAACAGCAAACGTTTTTAAATTATTTGGCATAATGGCATGGAAACTGTTTGGCTTATTAATTATAAGGCATAATAGCTTTGGTGCAATTAAACTAGGAAGCATAGTGATGGGTTTGCTTGTTAATTGTTTTATGCAAGTAATAGAAAATAGTTAAGTGCTAGTATTCGAAGGATTTCCCAGTACCAGACTTTTTAGCCCTAGTCACCCCTTCGCAAAGCCTCGCATGATTAATGTAATTAGCATACAAATCTAGGAAAATATGTTGCAAAGATATCTTGCAATTTGTTGTAATGTGTTATTGTGTATGTCCATGCAATACAATTTTCCATGGCTTATTAGGAAGTATTACTAATGGATCTACTTGTACTTATCAGTGCATCATCATGATTGTCTCATCTGGTTAATACCGTACAAGAAGGAAGAAGTCAGGGTTTGGGGTTAGTACTGAAAGAACGTAGGAGTATCTTTATCTACAGCCCAATGAGTAATGAAGCGACTTTGAGGGACCAGGAAGTGGCAGACCACGACGCAAAACTGTACGAGAAGACCGGTTCATCGCTAGCACTATGCTAAGATGGCCCGTTGCCCAGACTGAAATTTCACAGAGCTTTAATGGGACAAGCTAGGAAGATATGTTAGACAACACTTTCCAGCTCCAGCTACCATACACGAGTTGAAGAATGCGTGTGTATAACAATGCTCAAACATAGATTCAAATCGTGTTAAAATTTTGATTTCAGGATGCCACGTCTTCCTTATGAAGTTATAATGTCAGCTCGTGAAGGAAATACAAAGTAGTTATTAAAAAACAATATGCGATATATATTTTTACTTGTCGCTAGTTAAAATTTCTTTTAAAGTTTTTGTATATTTTGATTATATACATATTTAATGGATAACTATAACGTTTTTATATCTTTCACGTATCTATATTATATTACATTGCTTTACTAATTAACTTTAGATATTTAAAGAACTATCACGGTTTTTAGCAACCCGTAATTTTTCTAGCCCAGTGTATTTACATCGGCCCTTCGTCGCATCACATTCTTATAAAATACAGATCTTTATCACCCAATTTTACTTCAAATACTTTATTTAGTATTTTTATTTATTTAGCAATAATGCTAACCTGCGAACTTAATGCCCAAAGGCATTCCAGTCATCCCAGGATGTAGTGACAGCTTATGGTAGGTGCAGCAAGGAATTCAAAAATTAAAAAATATTTTTAGAAATGGAAAATAAAATAGGATATGCATATAAATTTTTTGATTTCTAAAAGTATTTTTTAAAATCTAAAAGTATTCTTTTTTATGTTAGAAGGTGGCAAGTGAGCTGGCGCTCACCTGATGTTAAGTTATTACCGCCGCCCATGGACATTTGCAAAACCCGTAGCGTTGCAAATGCGTTGCCACCCTTTAATAAGTGGGCTCCGTTTATCTCACTCACCAGACGAAACGCAGAAGGGTAACACTTCCACTTTAGGCCGGTCTTTTATGTGGTCGTGATGCTTCCCTGAACCAGTGAAGACTGTTAGACATTTTCCCGTACCTATCTATTATATTTTCCACTTCCTCTTATACCGTAAAAATTCACTGACATGTATTATCGCTGGAACCGATAAGCCTCATGGACACTGTAATCAAGATACCATACATAAAATCTCGCTGCCCCTCCAACTGCCTCAATTTCATAAAAAATATTTTATCGTTTCGTTAAGTAATTAAACTCTTTTACTTAGTATTCAATGTTTACATTTTTACCACATTCGACCGGAGTGAAACTACCCCTACGCCTCCACCTTTACGCTTTGACATTTCCTCTGGTGACTGAGCTAACCAGCTAACCTCTTCCTCCTATCGCTTATCCTCTTAAAAGAGTGCAACCCATTGGATATTGCGAATGAGAATGGCCTACAATGATCACCACCACTAATACATTAATTATAATTCATTATGACTATTCCTATATTAATTATATAATTGGTTTGATTTCGTTTAATTTATTATTAACATATTTAACATTTGCAAATTCGTAAGCAATAATATTACATAAACGGGACGGACACAGTAAAGTACAAACAAGTTATTTCAACATCAAAGTATGTTGAACCATCCGTAACAACATTAAAGAAATATCTCTGCACGCCAACGCGTGCCAATACATACCAACGTTGGGATCTATTCCGCTGGCATTCCTAGTTACTCACTGGAATCCTTGGTCTACCATTTACCATCATATGGTCTAGGAAAGAGTATACTGAAAGTATCGTTTTGTGTGTGAATAAAATAAAAATTAAACCCGCTACTTTGGTTCTTGTAAAGTCTATTTTAGTTCCTACGTCTTTTAATACTAACGAAATCGACGTAGATATCTTGTTCTATAGTAATTATCAACCTACTTCACAAATGGAGGGGGCTCTCTTTTCAGTTGTATTTTTTCACCTTTTTCTGGTACCTCGAAACTCCGTAATTTAAAAATCGATTTAAAAATTCATTTTTCATTGGGTTCGGTTTAACTACCATGTATTTTCAAATTAATTTCATTGGAATTGAATCTTGGCCTCTGGAGATACATTAAAAGTTTCTTCAAAGATTTCCCCCAAAATGAAATCGCTGCGTTGGAAGAATACTCTTCCAACTGAAAAATGCAATTTTTTCAAGGGAGCTGATTGAAGTTTACCATTGTTTCAAACCTTTATAATTTCTAGCACTTTTCTTGATGAAAATTAAATAAAAACAAAGACAAATTATTACTATATTTATTTAACAAACACGTGTTAGTATTTGACTATTTTCGTGAAACCATCCATTGAAAAATTGCATTTTTGAGGTGCAACGGTATTCTTCCAAAGCGGCGTAATAAAACATGTATAGTGAGTGACATATTTGAAGACGGTTGTGCATTTGTTGAGAAAAATGTTTTACCTACTGCTCATCAGAAATCCGAAAATCGGTGAAGTCATTGGGTACCGGTGATCTCAAATCGTGAATCCTTAGATAGTAGAGGAACGCAGTGTGGAATAATTTGTTAGTTACATTCTTATTTCTTTTGTTTATAGTTTTCAAAAAAACATACACTTGGGAATAATCACCGTGAGCCCCATGAGGTTTTCCTCAAGCACAAGTTTTTGTCGGGCGTGGTAAATCGTGAACCGAAGCAACTATACTATAAAATACGCTCATGTGTGGTCTGATTACTTCATTATGGTTCAGTAGCCAATATTTTATAAACCTTTTTCGGGGTAGCTTACAAAGTTTATAAGAAGGATGCTAATCGGAGATTATAACTGTAACCACCATGCAAGTTTAATATATAAGATTTTAAATGTAACGATTAATTATACGTTTATAAATCGTTATTTATTATAGTAGCGGGCGCCTTCCCTCGTGCTCTGATGGCAGTTTTCGATTTCGTTCCCTTTTTATTTAAGTTCAAAATCTAAAGCTGGCCTGTCAGCTGCTACTGCAAAGAATCATTGTTGCGTGTTACGAACGTAGTTTATTATTACATCTTTCCTGATTAGTAATAAAACAAAATGTTTCATTGTAACAGTTGGATTTTATTCCACACATACTTATAGTAATTGCTGGGAAGATTGAGTTTCGTAGAACAAATTACGTAAAGGAACAGAGTTGCGATTGACAACCGCTAGTTCATAGAGCTTGTTGCTTCATCACTTAAAAGAAAAATAACTCGCAACTTTGATCCCGAAGGAGGATTTAAATATTCTGTTACTAACACGTAACATTATTTACAACATATAATTATAATATTATTAAAATGACGAGGAAAAGATGAAATGCGTCATAGAATCATAGAATAGATACCTAATAAAAACAGTTTAGAAAATAACTAAAATTGTATTTTGTATAAGAATACATGTAACATAAACAGTGTTAATAATAAAAACATTCATAAATGTCTTTATATGAAAAGGTATAGCGAAAAACTGATGATTGCATTTATCTAAAACTAAAGATTACACATAGGTAGGTAAGTGAAGTTTCAACATATAATACACATGTATACGGAGGTAATATATACCGAGAAAATAATACTAATATACACACGTTCGATCTTTTTCTTTATTATACAATAATTGTTTTTAAAATGCTGTTTTTCCCTATATTTTCCCTATTCTCCGTTTCGTCTTCTATTAAAACGCAATTTTGCGAGCATGAGAAAAATAAAGGCTACTGAAAGCTAGGAAAATAACCCTAGTGCAGTAGTAAGTGTAGGTTATAAAGAATAAAATGGAAATGATATTAAAATAAATTTATTAACATTAGTTGACTTACCTGGTTGTTGATAATCAGGAGATTTGGCATCCGTGACATCATGCGTATCACCAGCATTCGAACTTTCCACGTCCACTTGTTCAGAACTGTTACTTGCTTTATCGTCATCGTCTAAACAATCTGATGGTTCTCTAACACAAAAGTCCTTGAAAAAATCTGCATCACCTGCATGCTCATTGTTCTTGATAACAGCCTCTATTTCATTAATCCTTTCATTAGCACATTTATCAAATTTGTCCGACAAAAGGCGATCAATTGAAAAAGTCAGTCTAGTTTCCGTTTTGTCTGTTTTCGGATCAGCCTTTTTGTCAATTTCATCGACTTCCATCGTGTCATTTGTTTCCGAATTCATTGTTCAGTCACAGCTCCTCCAAATCTCGCAGGTCGATGCTGCGTCCGCACTACGGAGAGCCGACAAACACTATAAAGCTTTCGCATCGGGAACAATTTTTCGAACGACTCCGTCTCTGATTTACTGTTGGGTAACTCACACACGATAATAATTTAAACCAATTCGAAACTCTAACGACGCGTTTTTGTCAAATTGGATCGCTGAAACGACTGCGAGCTGAGAATGTTAACTGCCTCCTCTGAAAAGCGCGGCCGACTCTCACCGTTAATTGCGACCACCTTATTGCGAACGCAATAAGGCCCACAATCTTGTGGACTTCCAAGATTTATCATCCGACAGGGATACCTTCGATTGAAATTAAGATGGAAAACACCGACTAATGGGCGTCTTTGTGGTTGACAATTTCGTATGCCGCATTTAGTTGATTCGTTAAACACTTTAGGTTCTACATCATTATGTTAAAGTTGAATATCGAATGCGACGGTTTAAACGATGCAAATAGCTCTTGAAGACTGTAGTAAGATATAATTAGCGATAAACCAATCAGGGGATTGTGGGCGTGTCGTGACGGGAACGGATGCGCCCGCGCACGTCTCCCTGCACATCAAATTGGAATTTATTTAGGGAGCCGCGTGAGATATGCGCATCTTCATTAATTGTGATAATTATTTAGTTAGTTCGTGTAATTGGACGCGTCACGTATGCGGAGCTGGTTCGGGGCGGCCGAGTGTCGACTTATTTATAGCCGGACTATGGTAATTTATTGGCGATCATCGTTGCGGTGATCACGTACGTAGTAATTGGGCACAAAACTATCGCCTCCCATCTAAATAATGAGCGGTTGGCGTCAGATTAAGGATGAATAGGCTTGAATGCGTCTGTGATCTTTCAGTTCTTCAGGTTTCTTTCGCAAAAGCCACCGTCTCAGGAATATTAACGGTGCCTGATAATTACGGATAAATTAAAAAAATTCGAGATACACACAAAACAACGCAATAGTACCTAATCATTTATTTCATCTTTATAATGGCCCTCGTCAATGCAGAAAGTTGGGGCAAATATCCCTTTATGGCCAACCGCTCCCCTGGGAGAAAAAGGTCAAATACTTAGGAGTCACTTTCGACTCGCGTATGTCATTTACTACGCACATTAATAACGTTCGCAATAGAGCCGCGTTCGTCTCCGGCCGGCTACACAACTTAACTAACGCTAAAAGTAAAATGCCCTTAAGGCACAAATTATTATTATATAAGACCTGCGTACGACCTATTATGTCTTACGCATGCATGACCTTCGCCCACACGCACCCTACTCGCTTGTACAAGTTGCAAATAGTACAAAATAAGTGCATCCGCCGCGCAACCGGTGCGCAGTGGTATCAACGCAACGTCGACCTGCACAGCGATTGCAGACTCCCGACGCGAATATTTTAAAGACCTGACCAAACGGTTCTTCGATAGAGCCGAACATCATCCCAACCCTCTGGTGGTAAGCGCAGCAAATTACCAACCCGACAAAAACGCGAACGTCAACAAGCGTTGCCCGCGAAACGTCCTAATCGACCCGGTCGAGGAAGGGGACTTAGACACGCCTGACCCACTGCCGGGGGTCCCGCCGGACAACACTACACCCACAGTTAGTGCAACAACAAACACACTAGTTCGCCCTCGCCTCCGAGCACGGTGAGACCAACACAACGCGTACACAAGGTACACCCGCGTTCCGGGGCGGTTCTCACCGCCCCCAGCCACCGATTAGCTAATTGCACAGTCGACGGCCATCGTGGTTTCGGTCCGAACCACGACCTCGATGGCCCTTAGATGACACACCATAGTTAAACGCACGCATGAGCACATGCGTGGCCCTACCCACAGCGGAGGGCCCAAACCTGTGGGTTCTGGCTAGCCCATCGGTTCTGCGTCAGATGAAGCTTTAATAGTCTCGGGACTGAAAGCAAAAACATCAGTTAATACAAGATACAAGATACAAGAATCATTTATTTATTTAATTAATTTTATAGATTACTACAGTTAACAATTAATTAATCTGCCAAAATTTTAGCTTGTATTATTCTAAATACTTTGAAGTACCTATTTAAAAGTTTTAATTGTCTATGAGAAACGTTGGTTGATAATTATGTAATAGGCAAACCACAATAATACATCGATTTTTTTATCTTTGATTATATACTTGACCTGTTAACAAGTATATACAATCAAAGGTTGTTATAAAAGTAATCGGTCCAATATGTGTTTGTTCATTTTTTTCACTTTAAATCGAAAAAGGATATTAGAGTAAAATAACTTTTTTTTAGAAAAGAACATCGTAGTGTAACAAGATGGAACAATTTATACGGATCTAGCCATTATCGTTATACGGGGTTTCGCAAACAATTAAATGGCTAAGCAGAAAAAGCACCTATCTGCCAACTGAAATCAGTGCCAAGATTTAATAGAGACCGAAAGTAATGTTCTTCGTATTAAAAGTAATAAATAAAATAAAAACTTGCCCTTGTTGCGCCTTCGAATAACGGACATATTTTGTCATAATTAGGCGCGCTCCGTGGCGCTTAACTTTTTTTCCAAACTTTTTGTTGACATTGATTTATGTCAATGGCTCAGTTAAAAGCAAAAAGTAAACATACGCGAAGTGTGAATTTCGTATGGTATTTATATACCCGCAGTATTTTTGGAATAAATTTATTTACTTTTATTCCTTCCAGTATATTTGTGTTTTAATAAGATGTGTTATTACATTAAACATATATGTGAATTGCACTTTATGAAACATTAATATTTAAAATATTTTTTTTATAAATATTGGCCCATTAAATTGACTGTAAAATCTAATTATTTTAAATGTAAAAAAATATATATTTACTTACTTCATCTATGAAATGCGCCAAATAGATTTATCTTTTAATATTTCCGACCGTTCCTATAAAGATGGATATTTGAAAAGTCGGCGCCGGCACTCGTTTCCGCATATTTGACTCGGGAATGCGAACTTTCAACTCTGGCGCTTCTAAATTGCTTCGGTATGCGGCGTGAGCGTAGACGCAGCCAATGATTTACACGTGTAGGGGACGGCCCAGTTTGTTTTAAACATTAATTAGGCAACACATACAATAAAATAATAGAGGTCTGGCGTTAGTCGCGCATCATGGAAAAACTACTGGATAGACTTCAATAAATGCGTCTAAATTTTAATTCCCAGACACTTGGCCCTTATCTTATAAACATATTGTGATATTATTTAATGTAAAGTTATCAAAGTTTTAAGAAACAACGATTTTTATAATGTGATGATTCTTGCCGTGGTGAAGTGAAACAAGCACCATGCAACGAAGACGAAGCCTACTCTGAATTCTCCAAAAGTGTTGGAAGATTCATTTGATTATGATACAACGTTCCATTCGCATATGCACGTACTTATTTTTGAAAATCAAATCCTTTCTTTCAAATTCATCGTTGACTAAATTTTGTTTTTACGGGACAAAGTATGATTTATTTTTGACACGTACGTTTTTTTACTAAAAAGTTTCAATTGATATAGAAACGTAACCATTGAATTAATTAATCTTCTTAAAATTCTTAAAATTCTTAAAGCGAAAATCTTCGGAAACGACCAGATTTTGAGAAATAAATAATTTTATCTTGTAATTGTACACTAAGGTGATGCGCTATTCAATGATATTATATACAAATAAAAGGTAGATATGAGTATGACACTATCGTACTGAAACTGAGGCTCTCAAATTACACCAATTGGTGTGATTAGACTACAATTCTACAGACTGCTATCTTTTTCCGTATCATACGTTCTATATCACATTCAGTTATATAAATGAAAAGCGGAACACTTTTTAAACACCGCGCAGTATGGACATGCGTCAGTTTTATTATTAATCATCATTGGCGCCATTACTTTGAGTAAAACAATCGCTACTCGACTACGGCGAAGCAAAAAAGGAGTTGAGCGTTTGGTTGTGATGCAAGAGCTGTGAGCTTCGGAGACTTCGACTTATTACTTAATATTTATAATGGAAATTAAAACGTCATGTTATGACGGAGTGGATCGCTAACTTGCTGGCTCTAACTACGTTCTTCTAGAATCTAGATGGAAGGGGTCGTTGGGATTTACTGCCCATACAACCCGTTCCACAAAAATCATGTGCATCGGCGTCGGAGGTCGTCCGTTCGATTCCCACACGAAACAAGTTTATACTTAAGAACCCATAGCAAATTAAGGGATCAATGAAATAATTTGCTACAGGCCTCGCGTTTGGGTTTGTTTAAGAGTTAGACCTCGAACTTTGTTATAAATGAAAACTCGAACTTTGTTTATGATTATGGCGAAGCAGACTTTAACTGCACTCTCTTGAATTCGAAAGGGTAATTCGATGGTGTTAGGAAAACCGTAGGAATAAATACACTCTTTTCGCATAGAACCTGTTAGTATAGTCGCCTCGATTACATTGCGATGCAATGTTTTTACTCGCAATCTGGTGCCATTGCATAATTTTGATGATTTATATTGCGTAGCAACATAATTGGCCCGCCAACTCTCAATTTTAATGTGAGTTGGGAGACCGAGAGGCTTCACTGTATCCAGAAACTCGACCGGATAATGTATGCCATCATCAGTGGCGGATTTTCCCTAAGGCCCGACAGGCCCGGGCCTAGGGCGGCCCGATATTAGTGGCGGTCAGTCGTAATAAAAATTCACTGATGATGACGAGAGATATGTCAAAATGTACTTAAATATTGTAAAGGTTCACGCACGTTGGCGGGCCGCACTGTATCGCATGGTATAACGATAATCTTCCTGAAACACTCTCTACATAATTATATATCATATAATTAAATAGAGGACCGGAGGACCGGTTTTTTTTTGGTAAATCATGTATTTTGGAAATAAAAAAAATAAAAAATAAAGAAAATGATCTGGTATAGAAAAGAAAATAAAAAAAATAAGTGTGTAAATGATCGTGATACGACCCGCAGCCGTCTACGCCCGATTACCGATCGAGCTATTATATTTTTTTTTTGCGGCGTGTCATATTCGATTGATATTTTTCATTCGCTGAAAACACGGATAAAAAAAATAAAAAATAAAGAAAATGATCTGGTATAGAAAAGAAAATAAAAAAAAAATAAGTGTGTAAATGATCGTGATACGACCCGCAGCCGTCTACGCCCGATTACCGATCGAGCTATTATATTTTTTTTTTGCGGCGTGTCATATTCGATTGATATTTTTCATTCGCTGAAAACACGGATAAAAGGACATTTTCTAAAAATGAAACCTAGCTAGATCGATTTTTCGCCCCCGAATCTACGCACATACTAAAATTCAGATTTCCGAGATTCCGATTATATATATATATATATATATATATACAGCGTGTCGTTACCATCGTGACAATAAATTAACACACGTCTAACGCTACTTGCCAATAATCATAAAAAAATATTAACGTTAAACAAAATCCATAATTAAAAAAAAATATTTTTCAAACAAACTAATTAAGTAAAAAAGAAACAAAATTTGTAACATCCTATACAACTCGCCCCACAGCGTCGCATTACAAGCCTCTCCTGCTAACAGTATGTTTTGTCTCTTTTAAATTCATTCAACCCATTCATATGCTTTGTGACCTTTACAAATGAACTTTACGTTACAGTTTTATACGTAAGGTTGTCCTAAAATTATTTGTTTCGGAAAATTTAATGACTCTGTAAATATTGATGTTTAAAGAATGTAAATATTTATTACAATTTTAAAAAGTTATCCCCTATATGTGTGTTCATTTATTGTCGCGATTGTAACGACACGCTGTATATATATTGTAGCCTATCGGCTCAATTCTAAAGGTAGGGTAGGTGGGTTCAAGGATTCGGTGTTATTTCTTTTATAGCTTTATTTGTCATACTTCCGCACACAACAGCTAAGTGTGGTGGTGGTTCACTGGCCTGACGTAGGGTGAGACGTCCAGGAATTGTTCTACGCCGATTTTTCGAAGCCGTCGGTATCTGGGGGCAATTTTTGTATATATATATATATATATATATGTACACATATATATATATATATATATATATATATATATATATATATATATATACAAGAATTGCTCGTTTAAAGTATAAGATAAGATAATGTTAAGTATTTATTTCTTACATCCCTAATCCCTACTAATATTAAAAACTAATCAACCGATTAACATGAAACTATGTACACATATTCTTAGGTATTAAAAACGACATTAGCTTAGTTGGCAAAGCGTCTGAGCGCGAAACCAGAAGACGCAGGTTCGAAACGCAGTGCAGTTTTTGGTCATTTACCTACAGAACTTATTAACTAAAAACCTAAAACTATTTTAAGTGTTTTATTACAAGGAGTAAATAATTTCCCTGTCGGAAAATAATACAACAGCTTTGACAGTTACCTAAATTTCTGAATCTTTTTAAAGTTGACAATAAAGTAAATGTATTAATATTATATAGTGTTTTTGATACCGAGATAGGGGTGGCTGGTACTTACTACATGGCATGGGCCCTAGGGTGGCCAAGACTGGAAATCAGCCACTGGGCATCATTCGTCTTTATCACTCACTGACTTGTCTGATTTATATTGCGACCCGCCCCGGCTTCGCACGGGTGCAATGCTGGACGTTTGTTTTCGGCATTGCTCTACTATATTATGGATTTTTTTATGTGAAAAGTTGCCTAGCGAGCAGACGGTTCAACCGATGTTAAGTGAATACCGCTGCCCATAGACATCTGCTACACCCGAGGGTTGTAGATGCGCTGACAATCTTTTGAAAATTGGACTCCGGCCACCTCACGCACCAAACGAAACGCGAAAAGTACTTTCGCGTTTCGTTTCGTCACACTTCCACTTTACACCGGTCGGCTGTGAAGCGGAGGTACTTACCCGGACGAGCCTGCCCATTCGTGCCACAGCCGAGGCTGCTGCGTGGCCCAACATGAATTATAAATATAAACCTTCCTCTTGAATCACTATCTATTAAAGAAAACCGAATCAAAATTCGTTGCGTAGTTTTTAAGGTCTAAATATATAATTATAGCAGCATACAGACGCCAGGACGACTTTATTTTATACTATGTAGTGATTCGACCCCTTTGAATGATCTCAAAAGTATTTCATTTATGACTGAGGCTTGTTCGTTTTTTAATGTTTGTGTAAGTTTTAGGTATAAGCTCTTCTACAGTGGAAAAATTACTCTGTAGAGAGAATTATATTAATACGTAATTCTGAGAAATCAACATTTCCCATTTTAAGGAACAGGTCTGAGAACTGTCCGGCAATAACATTTCCATAAGATGGACTCTCATATTTTTGGTAAGGCTCTGTTTTGTCACTGAAGGCCACAAATGAGACCGCTTCACGCACACTAGTCAGCCAGAAATCGCCCGCTAATAATACAGTAAATCCTCCCATTAAAATTATTATTCTTAATATCTTGTAGATCTATTTAGAGATTCTAATCCAACACACGCGAACAAGCTACGACCAAGAGAGAAAGCACGGTTTTTCTAAGTTCACCCATGCTACCTAACTTTAATGTTTGCACTTGCGTTTTATTAATTGTCATAGCGAAACTAAACTTAATAGGCAATTGCTCCCTTTTGAATTGGAATGGAAGATCTTTGGGAATTATAGAGATTCGTGTGATCATTACGTTTTAACCTTTTCTTAAATTAAGATGATGGCACTAACTATGTTCCATACAAGTTATATGACAATAGAAATAATATCACTGTTAAGTTTAAATACATAATTTATTACTATGGTACAACATGTTTTGAATGATTTGCCGATATTAAGTTTATGCATATACATATATTTTTTATGTCGAAATAATACAACAAAATATACAATTCAGATAATAAAACAGCTCATCCTGCAAGATTTCCAAATGTTACTCTTTTTATTAGATTTTTTACGTTAATATACAAATTCATATCATCGATCCACGCTTGACTTAGCTGTTTTTTTACACTGATATCGGCTGCTTTATTTAATCACCAAAATTTACCTAAAAGTCACTTTACCAAGCAACATGCAATGACACTGCTATTATATTACCATTTCCTTTTATATTATAAACATAAAAAATAACAGACAGAAGATATTCCACCTCCTTCCACTGAGTACAATTTTATAGAGACAGTTGCCATTGTTACATAACATTTGTTTGATTCATTCTTGATTTCTTACTTCTTACATTCTAAAATCGTAATCAATATCAACATTAATACCTAACAATGAGGTAAAGATACAATTATTTTATTGTCTACAATCATTTGAAAGATTAAACAATACCCCATTCAATTGATTACACTTTAAACCATAAGAGAATAAAGGCTGGCTAGGATATTAAGTGTCATCATCATAGCAACTGTCTACACATTATTTATGGAATTTTGTTCCTAGAAACATATTAAATGTACTGAAAATGTGCTGTTTTTTTTGTGAACAACTTTATGTATGTATGTAGATGTATACTAGCCGGGCTTTGCTTACAAGTCCATATTGCCACTTCACTTTACTGTTTCGCTTTTCTGAACTTAGTTCTGTTACCTGTAAACAAGCATGATTAAAATTACTTATGACACATATTGTTTTTGATTCAACAATACAGTTGTGTATAATAACAATTTTACTGTTATATAACCACACTATGGCGATGTATATAACTTATTAATTTATAGTTGACCATTATTCTAGGAGGCCACATTATCGGCAACTTCCTATTCTTAATATGCAGTGACTTGGGATACAACAGAAGTGACATAACAGAAGCAAAAACAGATATAGAAATAAAATCTAAGCAGAAACGGATGTAAAAACAGGATTGCAAAAATATAATATTTTTTATTTCATTAATATTTAATATTGAAAGTAGTGGTAAATTATATTTTATAAAAGGTACTTTAGCTACTTCTATATGCAGCAAGCTTCTCGTGGAGTTTTTTCACCGCGACTCACTCTACGATACAATTGGCGTTTAAATGTCAGTAATAGAAGTAAGAACAGAATGGTAAAAAACGCGTGGAACCTCTGCATTTGCGGAAACGGAACTAAATATCTGTTGCAAACTAATGTGAACCATGGCATGAGCCGCTCATCAACCAACTTTGTTAGGGTTGTGGTTTAGAGGAGGCTGTCTAGCTTTGAAGAGAAGGCTGCATAGATCTTCTAGGTCACAGTGGTTGTTGAATACCCAATGAAGCTATTGCACCAATTGGCAGGCTCGTCGGGTAAATTACCATAGCCTCACAGAAGACTGACGTGAAGTGGAAGAAGGAAGAACTCTTTCGCTTTTCGTGTGGCGAGCGAGGTAGCAGGGGCCCACTTTTTTAATGTTGGCAACGCATCTCCACTCTTACCCGTCAGGTGTTTTAGATGTCCACGGGCGGCGGTAATCACTTAATCATGTCAACCATCTGCTTGTTTGCCAGATTTTAGCACTAGCTGCTGCCCGCGACTACGTCTGCGTAGAATAAGCTGAAGGCGTAACATTCAGACAGAAAGACAGATATACAGAAAAATATGTATATGTATATAGCCTATATGTTATTGTGATGTATAAGCTATATTATTGTAAAGTTTAATTAAAATGCATTCAGTACTATTTGCGATCCATCCATAGATACAAACTTTCGCGTTTATAATATTAGTAAGGATTACAGCTTTGGTGGTTGACCTGGCTAGCTGTCGTTCTGCAGCGAAGTGAATCGGTTGCCGAGCGCGAGCGGCTGCTGCGCGCTGCCCGCCCTCTGCGGGGCGCCGCCGCCGGCCGTGCTCCAGCCGCCGCCGCGCTTCCCGCTCGCGCCGAGCACCGGGAAGTAATCGTCGTTGTGGATGTCGGGCGCGTGCTTCTGTGAATGTGGACGAGGCGGCCATTTAACGTTGACAACACAAAATTTGACGTTTGTAGAGAAATGGGCGAAAATTTTTCGCCGCTTGTGGTATTTGAACATGCGTCGTAAAGGTTACGCGCCCGACGCTCTTGCCATTAAGCTAACGCACCAAAGAAAAATCTCAATGTATTCAACAAATTTGTTTTTAATTTTATTGAAAACATCGTTTGTATGCAGTATTATTATTGATTTTTAAATATTGTCCAAAAGAATGTACTGTGTAGGTGGTACTTTGACCAACATAGTAGTGATAAAATCTCAATTGCAATTTACATCATATGGCTATGGAATTAGTACTAACCAAGGAAATCCAATGGGGAAGACCAATAGACTAGTTAATGGCCAATTTTTACAAAAAGCTTATAAAGTATACTAATGATAGCTTTCTTGGACACTGCATCTTCTAAGTATGAATGCTGCTTTAAGTATTTGAAACTTGTTGAATTAAAATGTAATGTAATAAAGGTAAATTCCAAGATAATGTACTTACAGCCTGATTCCGCCGCATAGGTTCTACTTCACGAGTTCGCGGAGCTGGTGGAACATAGATGTTTGATGTTTTGACCTCTCGAGGCTTCTCCTCAACTGGAGGTGGTGGAGGCGGTTGTTCCACTTCAACCTTAAATAATTAACAGAGTTATCACCTTAAAACATGTAGAAAAAGTACGAAAAGATTGTCGCCGCTGTGGGAATCGAACCCACGTCTTCGGCATTCGCGGCCTGACGCTCTACCCACTGAGCTAAACGGCTGATATCCACAGCGACGAAAATCTTAACGCCTTCTTTCTACATTGTTATTTAGCATTTGAAGCAATGCTTGGCGCATCTATTGTTATATCCTTTCCAGCATACAAACAATTCGAATATCGTTTTACAACGATAATTCGAACGAGAGATGTCACAAAAAAAAAACTAAAAACTCATTGCCATTGCTTTTTATAAATTTTAAAGTTTTTTAACAATAATGAATGGCTAATCTCTGCACTTAAGATTGAACATTAAAACATGTAGAAAAAGTACGAAAAGATTGTCGCCGCTGTGGGAATCGAACCCACGTCTTCGGCATTCGCGGCCTGACGCTCTAGCCACTGAGCTAAACGGCTGATATCCAATAGATATAACAATAGATGCGCCAAGCATTGCTTCAAATGCTAAATAACGAATAATTGAAACGGGAGAAATTTTTATTTTCCCTAAGAACAAAATAACTTACTGGTTTGTTCCAAGGGCCCTTGATTTTACCGCTATCAGGTGCAGTGTCTTCAGCAGATGAATCTCTAGACTCTGGTGCCATACTGCCTTGCAGGACCTGGATCTTCAGACCTGTGTAGTCTTTCACTGGCTCTTCATACTCTTTCCATTCCTCTTCCTCCTTAGCGAAAAAATTCCACTTAACAAATTTCTAATGATTAAGAAATCAATAGTATTATTTACAATAAATTAACCTAAATAAAAATTGTGAATTGAATGCATGTTGCAATAATGTAAAGAAATAAATAATAACGTCTGCGAAAGCCGACGTGGGTTCGATTCCCACAGTGGTGAAAATCTTTTCGTACTTTTTCTACACATTTTAATGTTTAATCTTAAGTGCAGATATTACAAAGCAGTGCACTATAAAAAGAAAATAACTTCTATTGAGGTTATATATGAAAATAGAGATGCAAACACAGAGAGGAATACCTACTAGTGTGTAAATCTATTTGAATGTACTATACTCTTCAATTATTAGTGATTTCCCAGCTCACAACTTTACAATTCAGAATTTGATCATTTGCAGAAACTGTTTAGCGAATATTAACACCGCAATGCAATAAAGCTTAAAGGTTTAATAAAGCGTGATAGATTAATAATAATATAAAACTATTTTTATAATATATCAAATAACAATCATAGTACAATTCACTTAGTAGAAGCCTTTTTCCCACTGCCGAGGGTCCCGCCGGATAACACTACACCCACAGTTAGTGCAACAACAAACACACTAGTTCGCCCTCGCCTCCGAGCACGGCGGGACAACACAACGCGTACAAGGTACACCCGCGTTCCGGGGCGGTTCTCACCGCTCCCAGCCACCGATTAGCTAATTGCACAGTCGACGGCCATCGGGGTTTCGGTCCGAACCGCGACCTCGATGGCCCTTAGATGACACACCATACTTAAACGCACGCATGAGCACATGCGCAGCCCTACCCACAAGGAGGGCCCAAACCCAAGGGTTCTGGCTAGCCCACCGATTCTGCGTCAGATGAAGCTTTAATAGTCTCGGGACTGAAAGCAAAAACATCAGTTAATATAAGATACAAGAAGAAGACTTTATTTTTGTTTCATAAGGATTGAAATATCACCCTCTGTGTATGTATAATTGTTCCACCTGGTTCATTGTTATTTTTGAGAGTACAACAGTGTCAACTTTTAAATGAAAGCAAAAATTTAAATTTACAACCATGATAACGATATGGTGACAGGTAAATTAACTATTTTCATAATATAACAAATCTGATATAACTACTTTTCTTCTTTGGTACAAATTAGAAAAATTTATTTATGAGCTGCACAAACTATAGCTTTAGATTAAAATTTATTTCAGAATTTTTCATTCATAAATCACTTTTTAGAAATATTGTACATATTCTACAAAATTATGATAATCTAACCTTATTAAAACCTAATTAAAATTAAACTTTTTAGAAACTATTAATTATTCTAAGATACTGCTTTACTTAATGAAAGTTATTATTGGCAGTGGAGGTATAATCTAACTATGATAACTTATAATTCAAATTATATTTCAATATACATAAATGATGTTTTATCCTTAGTTGATATAGATGGTACAAAAATACTCTTTATATGATTAAAATATGCATGTATTATTAAGTGTTGCCTTAAATGCTATCTACAAGCTCTTGTAAAAATAAATAAAATACAGTTTTTTAACTATGCTTAATCTAACTAAAATATTATTTTATTAAAGACTGGAACTATTTATAATTCAAATACATCTGTTCGTAAGTGCATTAAGTTAAGTTAATAAGACATTTAAAATTAACTTAATAATTTAATGAATGAAAAAGTCGGTCAAGCAATATGAGTCATCATGCAGAAAGTAACAATATAATTGCAAACTTAATAGCGCATTGAAACCCATAAGATCATATTAGGTATTTTCCCATCTGTCCGCATTATAGCCATTCATTAAGGTATGTCAAACCAAAAATGCTAGGTCGGCAATACCCGCCTGAGTGATGTCAATTGACAATGATGTTAACAATTTACGTTTTTGCAAACTCCTTGTAAAATTAAACTTACCCCAGCTCTGCCAGGTTCATCCCCTTCTTGCGCAGGTCGCTCTTTTTTCGGCCGTGTATCAGATTTTTTAGTATCTTCCAATTTCTTGGCTAATTCATCGGTAGTTGCAAACTTTTTGACCGATTTCGACTTTTTGCGATCTTTCTTTGCAAAGAAATCGTCTAAATCAGCCATAACGAATTTTAATGAGTGTCTTTAATATTTCGACTGTAATTTCTACAATATTGGAACTAAAAAGAGGTGAAAAACTTGATGAATCCGCAAGACAATTTTTGTGGCAAGCGTGGCCGACTGTTTTTTTTTTTTAATGGCAGAAACAAGTGTTGTCATCAAATAAATCTTAAAGGCAAGATGAGTTACAACATACAATTAAATTGCTGTGCTAATACCATCAAAATTGAAATTTAATAACACTTTTGATTGTTCATTATTTGATTCAGTTTTTGTTGTATAATTTTTATGACATATATTGCACATATTTCTAATAAATTATTTATTTCACTTGCTGTGCAATAAATAGTTTATATAACTGTTCGTCGACAGTTACCTAATTGATTTAAGATATTTCTGTGATAAGTTCTAGTAAAAATATGCATATACACATCCAAACGCTTACTTAATAGGATTTAAACAATAATTTTATAATAAGCTTTTACACCTCCTTCTGAAGGTCCCTTGAATCGATTCGTTAACCTTTCCTCCTATGTTAGTTGAGTTGTCTAATAAGGAATCGTCTATTCCATTAAAATTACTCGTGGAGATACAGTGGAGCGGAGAGCGTCAACGTGGTGTCGTCGCGTACCAGATACGTTACTCCTTCTGAGTCCACGGGTCGTTTACCTCTTCCAACGAATCTGTAAAAGCCACTAGTATAGCAGAAAATTGCACAGAAAAAGCAGTCCGTTCGAGGAACCAGCCTGACCTCACACCGTGAAGTGGAAGTATTATATATCTGCGTCTGATGAGTTAGGTACTGAACCAATACCGAAACAATAAGACTTAGTCCATGAAGAGCTACCAAACAAGTGCTGCAATCTTGCATAAGGAGAAGGGGTAATTTAGTAATTCAATAGTCAGAAAAATAAATAAGGCCAATTTCAACAGAAAATATTGCTAAGTTTGGTAATGCCACTTGGTAACAATGATTTATTTCAGGAATAACCCCGTCCTTTAGAGAAAGAATAAATAAATTTGTTATTTATCTGTTTTTCCTTTCTAAAGGTTATTAATTTGCAATTTGAATTTTTATAAATTTATACGATTGACATATTTCTAAATAAATAATACTTTACATCCAATACGTTGATTTTAACATTCAAACCGCTTATCAGTGAGCAAGTCCACGTATCAATCGTAACGGGAAATATCTTTATCTTATCTTTCAATACTTACCTGGTCCGACATTGCAGTTTCTTAATAAAATTAAAAATGTTAGGAACTGTTTCAACGATTTCCAAACACCTTAGGAGTAATGTTTTTAGAACTTTCGTCAGAAATGGTTCACATGGTGGAATTCCAGGAGAGGTATCACAATTTTTGATAATTACGTAATCATGACCATAATTTCTACGTAAATTAAATTACTTTTTATATATAATACAGAGTCACTAAAATAATTTCGATTGTGTTTAATTGGATCATATTTTTCGGCAATTTTAACTGACTAGGGTTTTCGTTATGTTTATTTTACTTTTCAGAACTTACCGTTTGATATCCACAACAAAACTCGAATAACCTTCAACATGTTTTGGTTCGTGGCTACTGGTACATGGGCTCCATTTCTTATTGTCCTGTATCAACTCAAAAAGAAGTGAACCAGGTTAGTTTACCAAATATCTGTTAAATGCATCTATTATGTAAATTGATATATAGTGGAGAACTAGAGAAGAAAACGTTATTAATTAAACAATAAAAGCTTTATTTTCACAATATTTAATAGGTATTTGACGCGAAGATCGTTACCATACCCAAATTTATATTCTTTGCATTGCGATTGCAAGAAAATACTGGTTCTGCAACCTTAACAACATACCGATGGAATCTACTATACAGGATAGACGTCACCTTTACGTCAATATATCGTTCCCTTCACATTCCGGTTCGGTGCTGTTTGGAATATTTTCCCTCGCTCTTCATGATTTGGTTTTTACATAATAAATTTAGATCCAGCCGCAAAATTTAAAGTTTGATGTCTTTAAATTAATTTACTGTAGTATATACAGCAGCTTCTGCTATTGCAGGGGTTAGCGTATCGACGGGAAAGAACTGTAGCCTCACAGAGGCTTAATGTATTTTTTTTATTTTCTCACTATTGAGAATCGTTGCTTGTATGTTTATGCAATGAACTGCAATTCACTGTTTGCTAAATGTTATGGCTTCTCGATCTTCGATTACACGCATCTATTCGCCATCAAGACTTTTGCGAGGATCGTCGCAATATCTGGCTAGGAGATATTTAAATCTTTTGTAATACATGTAAAAGAATAAAGTAAACGAGAACTTTAGGTACAAAATCAAAATCAAAATCAAATCAAAATCAAATGTATTTATTCAACATAGGAGCATTACACTCACTTATTGATAGTCAAAACACTACCACCGGTTCGGAAAAGAAAGCCACTGTACTGAGAAGAACCGGCGAAAGAAACTCAGCGGGCATTTTTTTTTTTTTTAAATAAGCAGTTTGACATAATTTCGTTAAAATACAATGTAAGAACTCCGATTGAAAGAGCCTGGAGCGATCAGTTCATTACCAGAGTGTGTTATCATTTAAATAATCATTAATATTATAGTAGCCTTTAACACACAAACGTTCTTTTACTATTTTTTTAAATTTAGCTATTGATGCATTTTGAACGTTTTCTGGAATTTTGTTGTAATAACGTATACATTGTCCCATAAAAGATTTACTTATTTTACGGAGTCTACTTGTGGGTAGGATCAATTTATTTTTGTTCCTAGTATTTATATCATGAACATTATTATGTCTTAAAAATTTATCCTTATTTATGGACATACAAAACATTTTCAAAAATTTATTGAGCAGCAACAGTCAATACCTTTATCTCTTTAAACAAGTTTCTTAACGATTCTTTGGGGCCCAGATTGTAAACTGCACGAATAGCTCTCTTTTGTAAGATAAAGATTGTATTAATGTCGGCCGCGTTACCCCAAAGCAGAATGCCATATGACATTATACTGTGAAAATAACTAAAATGCGAGCCGTATCAACATCAGTTAACTGTCTTATTTTTTTGACCGCGAAAGCTGTTGAGCTAAGTCTACTCGCCAGTCTATTAATATGGGGGCCCCATTGCAGTTTGGCATCAATAGTTATGCCAAGGAATACAGTTGAGTCAATAGGGTCCAACGCTTCCCCATATAAAAGTACATCAGTTTTTACATGTTTAACATTGGAGGAAGTTGTAAATTTAATACATAATTATTTATTACATAAGTACATTGTATCGGTTGCGTTTATTAGTAGTTTCTCTGACTTGTAAATGTCCACGTAAACGTGTCATTTGATTAACAAACTAATACCAGTCAAAAGTGGTGTTAAGAATTTTAGAACTCAAAATGTAAATTAAGCTTATCTAAATTAAGCCGCCATAGTCATCATGGAGGGCCGTATCAAAATCGTAGGAGGCTATCTCATGAGTTCGGCGTAGGATACCTTTAGTCTGCGGACTGTAACTAGAAACATAATTATTCAAATGAAATTACAAGAAATTTTAATTTTTTATAGTGCTAATCTCTGCACTTAAAATTGAACATTAAAATATGTAGAAAAAAGCCGGAGAAGTGGGTTCGATTCCCACAGCGTCGACAATCTTTTCGTACTTTTTCTACATATTTTAATGAAGGTACAAGATATAAAACCCAAATTTCAATAACCGTAGCAACCATATTTGTTCTTGCTCTTTCGGTACATATAAAAGAAGTACTAATTAATGATTCTAGAAAAATGTGGTACAAAGTTTCAACAGAAAATATGTACAAGGTACTCCAATAAATTAAAAATATTTCGCTTTTTTTTAAATTGGTTTATTATAATTTTGGGACACTGCAATTTAAGATCTTAGGAATTGGTAATAGGTAATTCAATTATCAAAGCTTAATTTATTGCTCTATTAATCTTCGAGAAATATTGTGAAATAATATGTAACGTACTTCTGCTGTTAAATTATATTTTCGTTCTTTATTATCACTATAAACATATATATAATATTCGCAAAAGGTTATGTAAATTTATTTAAAATATTATAAATACATAAGCACCATGATAGCACACTTGAGTTCGAATCCCAAACCCAGCACCAATGAAATTGTTATTTTTAAGTGCTGACTTATCACGTGCTCAACGGTGTAGAAAACACCATGAGGAAACCTGCATACTTTCGAAATAATAACAAAAAATTAATACTAATTACTAACGAACAATTATGTTAATTAATAATTACGCCTATCCATAAGTGGGGTCGGGTGATGGACTGAGTCCTAATACCCCCTGTACAAAAGGCACTTGCTCAGCTGTGGTATATTTATAAAAGCTGTGGTATATTATATGTTTTACTAATTCACTTTTTACAGATTAAACACGTTTTATTACAGATTTCGCGATGGGGAAATGTTTTTACATCCATACGCTTCATCTAGTGAAATAATTAGCAGATTGACTTTGAATTGTTTATAAATATGTTTAAAATTAAATAAAAAATAAGATATAGAACATGCTCTTTTATTTACAAAGCAATTTATATATTTTGGATGCGTTCAATACGAGGAAAGTTTACTAAATCAAAATTTAATTTTTGAACGCACTTTGTTTTGGGAAAAAAAAACTACCGTGGTCGTAGAGTTAAATCGAAATATATTCAATACTCAGTTGTTCCTAAAAATTCGACATTAACAAAAAGTATTCAATGATGACTACACTAGCTCGCATGTCCACTAGATTGGGCAAAAATGTAATGACAAATTTCGTACGGAATCACTCACATGGTGGAGTTCCCGGAGAGGTGAGTTCTATAGAGAAAAAAAGATTCTGATTAGCCATTACATAATCTTGATGTTTAATTGTTTCATCACTTCTGAGGTTAAGTAAGTCTTAATTACCTTATTCCTGCTATCTAGTAATGTATTGTATGTTATACTAGCGGACCCGACAGACT